ATAGAAATTTAATGACCCGATGATTTCAGCTAGGATTGCTGGGAGCAAAATTAATTGCTTGGATTTTAATTTGCTTAAAAAAGTCTACCACAGTTATCTCAATGTAACCCAAAGTCTTCGAAAAGATTATCATGCCATACAATGCTAGAGCAAACACAACCATACCTTTATCATCATTTAAATGCCCCTTGAATGAAGTTTTAAAAAAAGTCCTAACGGACGTCGAGATGTTCACTTTTAGGCTTCACAAAGGAATCAATGATTTTGACTTTCGAGTAAACAATTTATCTGGACATTACAGTTTTATTCCAAGCAAAATTGAATACTCTTTAATAGTTGACACCAAATCTTTCTGATTAAAAGTGAAGCATCTATAAGATGGATCTCAAAACTGTATAACTGTCCTGACTAACTATTCATCGATCACTACTGAAATGAGGGATGCAATCTGCGTATACTTCTTGCAAAAGCTTTCTTTTCTTTTTTCATTTAACTGAACCCAGATGATGACTAAGTCTTATAAATCATTTTGTGTGAGATCCAAATGCACCTTGTTGGGTAACTCAGACACATAGTCAATAGGCAAACAATCTCTATTCTTTTGTTGAGCTTCTTTCGACCAAACATGTACTTCATTATATGGATCATATGGGACACTAACTGAGGGATGAGCAAATCTGTAATTTTACAGGATTCATGAAAACTTCTTGGGAGAAATATGTCATAGAGCAAATGTCTCAATGCGAAACTATATGATATGATTAATGCAAAAAAGAAAAAGAAAAAGAAACAAAATTAAATTAGTGTAAGGATGCGGTTTGAGAAAAACATTTTTTAAGTTTTGAAAATTTTTTTTGTTTTGTTTTGTATTACACACAACTTTTATTCTTAGGTATTTCCTACAAAAAGGTGGAGAGGCTCTACCTAATGCTGGTTTCCTAGGCTTATTAAATGTTGGGTTTAGATTGACACATGTCTAAAGGTTCCTAAAATGTTCCTCACTGTCGTCCATGTTAGACTAGTGAGGGACCTCGATCCTTACCCATTACAAGCTACGAATGAAAATGGTTAAATTTGAGTGAAAGTATTTTGCTTGTCATTACAAAAATTATCACCTCACGAGGGCATGCGTACTCTACTTCTTCTTATAAAGGATAAAGCCCGGGTATAGAGCTCATGCATGAGATGCATTGTGTCATTGTGTGTGCAAGTATATCTTAATTTTTTGAGAGTAATATATACAGAAAAATAAAGCATAAGAGGCATAGTAAAAAAAACGTGAGAAAAATTTTTTCTTTTTGATTTTTTTTTTATTTTTTTTGTTAAAAGTGAAAAGTAAAAATCTAAGAAACCGATTAAGACTGTTTAAATCAAAATTTGAGGATAACACATAATTAATTTTGGTCTAACTCTCAAAAATAAAAAGCCTCCCTAACGTAGTCGTCAAGCTATCGTAATGGTTTTGTGTCCGTCCGACGAATTTGGAAATGAAATAAAAAAAAATGGAGTCATCACCAATCTTTTTTTGGCTAGGTGCAATTGGCCACCTATTAAAACATATTTTTTTAATAAATTTATTAAAAAGATAATTTTATGGTCTGCGAAACAGTTTGGTTTCGAGAGTCGATTATGCATGAGGAAAGATTAGCACCCCCACAACACCTATTTAAAATGGTACCAATTAACTGTGTTATCCATTGATTTTGATAAAAACAGTCTTATTTTCAATGTTTGAAAAATAATTTCCTTGATTGTTCATTTATTAGCTTTTTTATATATATTATTATTTATTGTTTCATTTTTTTATTCGAGAAAAATAAATTAGAATTTTTTTTATTGAAATAACTCTTAAAATGTTCTAGTACGTTGGTAATATTAGAAAAAAATTCTCACCTAGAGATTTCTTGGGCATTATTTCTTGGAATACTGCAGAATCTTATCCTTGGAGGCTCAAATTTACTTTTTGTAAAAAAATTATGTTGTGCATACAATGCAAATGTTATCATGTTGATGCACACATTTTATTTTCTTTTTTAAATTTTATTAATATTTTATTAATTATTATTATTTTTAATTAAAATTTTTGAAGGAAAAAGGCATTTTTATTATGTGAAGATTTTTTATAAATATTCCAATACACTGGTAATATTAAAAAAAAATCTTCTCACCTAGGGATTTCTTAAAGCATCTCTACTCGGAATACTTTTAGAATCCTGTTATCGGATAAAATTTTTTTTTTCTCATTTTTATTATTTTATTCTTAATTTCTTAATTAATTTGTTATTATTTTATTAAAAAAATTTATTGTATTGAAAATTTTTTTAATAAATACTCAAATACACTAGTAGTATTTTAAAAAAAAATTTTGTCTAGAGATTTCATAGGTATCACTACTTAGAGTATCTTTAAATCTCATCATCAAATAAAAATTTTCTTTTCTTGCACTTTTTACTAATTTATATTATTAGAAAGTTCATTCTTATTATTTTTATTATTTTTTAAGTTTATTATTATTAATAACAAAATTATCACAAATTTTTACTATATATTTCATTATTTATTTTGATTTGTTAATATTATAAACAACAAAAATTTATTTTAGGAAATTTAAACATTTTAACATGCATAAATATTAATAACAAAATTTAAAATAACAAAAATAATATTTTTAAAAAATTCTAAAAATTCAAAAAAAATTTTTTTTACTTGAATCGGACTGGTTAACGGTTCGGTCAACATTGATCCGGTGGTCTGGTCGCATTCAGCAGTTCAGGGTTAGTTCGGATCGAGTTCAGCGGTTCAGTACCTATTTAGTCGGACCGATCAGAAACTAAAATTGAAGTAGGTCGTCGGGTCGGGTGTGCGGATCCCAGGTCGGGTCAATGGCTAACATGCGGATCATTCAGCTCAAAACGACGCCGTTTTGACCCTTTAATGAAACGATATCGTTTTGGCTTTCAACTTTTTATAAAAATCAAATTTTTTTCTCTTATTTTCTCTTCTCCCTCTCTCTTTCTACACCTCTCCCTCTCTCAGAGTCTCTCTTTAGATCAATTGGTTGATCGTAGGCCACCGTGCTGACCGTCGTCAGTGGGCGTCGGTCGGTGGTCGAAAAATCTTTAAAAATCTAAAAAAATTCTCCTAGACCCCTTAAACACTGATCTAGGTCTAGTTTCGCCCAAATCTCATTGAAACGTCTTATATCAAACCTTAAAGGTTCGATCAAATCTTTTTAAAAAAAAAAAAAAACTAAGTTGATTTTTTTTTACAGGAAAGCTTTGGCCCTAGGTTTCCTGGACTGTGATTTTATTTTTATTTTCTCTTTTTTTTTTGTTTTGGTGGTTGATGGTTTGGGAAGGGATTAGGCTAGGGGTTTGTGTTGTTTTGGGCTCGGCTAAGGTTCATAGTGTTTGGTGAAAGGTCTCATGAATTGGAAATTTTGGATGCAAAAATTAGGGCTTCTGGGTAAAAGAGAACTAGGGTTTCAAGGTGTGTATGTTTGAAGTTTCTAAGTATGGAAGGGACTATTATTTCTGGGCGTGTGAACTTGGGGTTTCTGGGTGTGTTCGAAGGCAAGGTGTTTGGGCATAGAAGATGGAGTGCTTGATGTCTTCTTCCTCTTTTGATTGGAAGTTCAAATTAGTTTTTGTAGAGATCTAGGATTGACAGGGTATGAGGCTACGGCCTGGTGGTTCAGCAGTGCTGATAAAGTGGATAAGGTGGATAAGGTTTGTATGGTTCAGAAGTGTTAATGGAGTGGATAAGTTTTGTAGGGTATGGGTGATCAGAGGGGTGGGTGGCCAGTAGTGCCATGCAAGGCATCACTGCCATCAGCCCCTTTTTTTTGTTTTTTTATATTTTTATATTTTGTATTTTTGTTTAATTAATAAATTAATAAAATAAAAGGTAAACAGGCTTTGGGCTTAAAAATGAAATTGAACTTTGGGCCCAATCAAAATTGGGTTTATTTGAATTAAAATTGAGTTTAAAGTCCGGTCGAATTGAAATTGAGTCTCAACCCGATTGAATTGCAATCAAAACTTAGTTCGAGAACCCGATATTCAATAAATATTCAATCAAGACACGATTAACATCCAGACAAATTTGGTATCCACAATATATGAATGTGGATGTCAAGAATTTTTTATCAAAATTTTAAGTAAAAATTTTAATTTCATTAAAGACTTTAGTTAAATGAATTTATTTCATAATAAACAAAAAATTAAAGCTAAACTCATAACTTAATTCAATTAATTTATATAATTATCTTTCAAGAGATGATATTTATCAAATATTAAAATTTAAATCTCAATAGTTACTACATTTTCATCCATCATTACAATATGACTTCTTTTGTATTGAAAAATAAAATAAAAAATTTAAATTTGCTTATAAATAATTTTTAGAGTTATAATTTTCATTAATTTAAAAAATTAAATGAATTTATTTCATAAATAAAAAAGTTAAAGTTTACATTAACATTTTTTTGCTATCCACTTTGGATTTCTTTATTTTTTAAAGTTTAATTTTACATTAACATTAAAAATAATAAATTTTATATAATTTGCTCACGAAACGAACTTTACATGTTAATAAAATTTTGATTAATATAAACTTTATTAATTTTATTTATTTATAAAATATAATTATATGTTTAAAAATTAATAAAAACAAAAAGTATTCACACGTGCGACTCACGTAAAAACAAATTCTAGTACATTTCAAAACCATACAAGAGAATATCAAGTATTGAATTTTTTTTTGTAATATAATTTATTTTTTCAGAATTTGAAATAAGCATTTAAAGTTTTTCATGATATTCGATAAAATATATTTTATTATATGTATAGATGACTTTCTTTTTTTTTTTTTAAATGAAATTTTTAGAATTTAATCCATAATAAAAAAAATTAAAAATTAAAAATTTTGTCTATAAATCACGTGATCATTAGCATATCAATAGCTTTTTTTACTGCATTTTATTTCATCATCAATTTCTTTTTATTTGAAATGCTTTTACCTTCCAAATTCAAACCCTTCTCTCGTTTGTTTATTACTAATGATTAATAAGTTATAAACTACCATGATAATGCAAGGACTTAATTGTTCATAATTGAATTTTTTTTGTCATCAAAAGTTAAAAGAGTTCAAAGTTTAAGGGCATTTTGTGGAATATTTCCTTTTTATCCTTTCCTTAAAAACGGCGTCAAAATTTAAATTGCAAGAGGCAGACGGCGACTCGATTTTTTTTTTCCCGGTTGAAGAATGGAACGCAAAGATAATCAATCTCCCCAAGGTATACCCTTCCTCGCTTAGACTTAAAAAAAAAATTTATGCAAATTTCTTCGTGTTTTTACTACAGGTGAAATTGCTGGGATTTTGGTTGAATTCTTGGAGGTGGCAATCACTTCAGTTGTTTTCCTCAAACGAATTTATCCTTCTGGTATATTTTACATGCTTCTTTTATATCTTTTAAATATTTTCATTCTTGTTCTTGGGTTTCTCTCAGAATTGTATTCCATCATCAAATTTCATTGATAAATTTAAAATTAAAAAAAAAATTTTGGAAAAAAAAGAGTTTTTTTTTTTTGTGGAAAACGTTTGTCCTTGAAGTTATGAGTGATGGGTAGTTATTAATCAGTAAAAGAATGAAACTTGGAGCAATTGGGATTAGTAGTTATTAAATTTTTTTATCTTTATAAATTATTAAATTTTAAATTAATATTATGTAATTTACCCATTAATTATAGTGTAAGTTTTGTAATTTAGACTTGAAGGAATTTTATAGCATGTAAAATGGTTAAATTTGAAAGTGTGAAACTCAAACGGTGGAGGCGTTACCTTGTGAAAATATACATATTGTGTGTCTGTGTTTATTTTTGTATGGATGAATTTTATGTAAATGTCATGTGTGTAACTTGTGTTGAGTGCACTGGTTGAATGAAGGTGCTTTTGAGAGGAGGAGGTATATGAATGTGGTAGTACAGAGGGCGCGACATCCTCAGCTCAGAGAATATATTCATTCTGCTGTTTCTGGACTTCTTCCTTTCATCCAAAAGGTTTGTCACATTGTTTGAGAAGTGTTTGTTTATGTTTTCTGACGATTTGAATTATTTAGAGTTCTTTTCAATGTGATGTGTCCATGTGGAAATGAGTGTGTTCTATGAAGCATATTGTGTTCTAGTGTTGTGTTGATGAGAATTTCTCTCATATTGATTATAAGAAAGCAAAATGAAGAGATACGAAAATTTTCTTGGGCTATTAAATAAATTTAATATTCTTACTACTTTGATAGGGATAATATTGATTCAATGAAATCAAAACAGTTTGCTACAAATTATTAAAGTTACTTGAAGATTTTAGGTCTTTTTATCTTTTTGAGAGGACAAAAAGAACCCAAAACATTGCTGTTATATGTTCCAAATAAACATTAAAAATGATATGCAAAACCGGAGTTGTCTCTGACACTTTAATTCAGTGTCAGGACTCAGATAGTCCAAGCAAACTTCTTTATTAACTCAATGGCTTTATTAGTGGCAGTTGTGATTATAAGACATAAAAAATGGCATAACACATGGGATTATCTGTGTATATAAGTGAACTTACATACCATGATACCATACACTCTATGATTCAAAAATCGGCATCACCTATATGTACAAAATGACTGAAATTTCAACTTAATGCCACGGATGCATGAACATATAATTTTGCTCTAGAAATTCCAAAAATATGTTTTTAGGGTAGTTATCATTTCATTTTTGAATATTGACATATATTTCAGCAATCTTATTTGTCTCAGTTTCTGCCTTTCCATTGTTGAAGGTAGTTTGTTTGTTGACATCATTGATCATATTTAATTCTCTGATTCTGAAACCTCTGAGCACTTTTAGAGATGCATTCTGATGTATGACAACTTTAAAATACATATGTGACACCTCATAAAGAGAAATAAATTTCTTTGTAAACTAGGGTCTGGTGGAGAGAGTTGCTGTTATTTTTTTCAACACTGACAACATTCCGGTGGAGAGGTTTATTTTCAAACTAACAGTTAATCAATCTTTCGGCTCAAAGGTGGAAGAAAGTGATCTAGAGTTCTCTCTTAGATCATTCTTGATCAAACTTTCTGTCTCCCAACCCCTTACAAGGGTTCTTCCCCGTGGTAAGTTTAACTAGGCAATATTTATCAAACATTGGTTTTTTATTTGGTCTAAGTGAGAATTAGAGATCTAGTTAGTGAATTCATCTTATCTGGTAGGGGCTTTCTCTGTTGCTTTTTGCTGCATCATTTAACTATGTTGTGATTTTTCTTTTCTTATTATGGTCTAGAGGCTAAGGCGAATCTCTAATTATTTTCTTATATAACAGATTGCAGATGGGAGATCACGGCTTACTTCCAGTCTCTCCCTCAGGTTAGTACTAGCAAGGATACAGAGTTGTGGATCCCAACTGATACCAAACAGTGGCAACAACCTCCCCTAATTACACCTATCAAGTCGATGAACAGTGAACCTATGGGTGTGCAGTTATACTTGGAACATCCAAGCCTAACTGAACCGAAATCTTAAAGGGGAAATCATACAGCATTCCAAGTAATCTGGTATGAATCAGACACATTAAACTTATGCTTCTTTACTGCTGCATAGTTTTGGAGACATGCAATTTAATCATAATCAAGCTCATAGAATATGGAGTTGGACTAAGTGAGAAAACATTGAGAGTCAAAGCAGAATTTGAAGAAGGGAGCAAACCCAAACTCTTGGAATGAGGAAGCAAAAATATGGCCTGTTGAATACTATGTTGGTGCCAATTTTATGACTTGAAACCTGTTTGATCTTATAAACTTTTTTTTTTTTTTAAAGACTGGAATTGGGTGGCCAAATTATTGTCTTAAGTCTTAGCTGAAACAGGTTGATATGGTGCTTGTGTAATTTTCAAGGGGTGAAAATGAATTTCATACCAGCCAATAGCTTAAGTAAGAACAAAGTTCTTTGTTACCTTGGTCATACCATGTTCCTGAACTCATAATCCAATGATGTGCCTCAAGGACTACTGTGCAGGATCTTCCTCAAAATGCTTAGAAATATTAATTGCGCCAAATTACCATACAACAGAGTAGCATCGCCTTTTAAACTTAATCAATAAATTGAGGTGTAAATATTTTAACTTAATCTGGGTTTCCTATCCTTCTATACTTGATTTTTGCACTCTTTTACATAAAAAATGACATGGTGCCATTGCATGAGCATGTTTATATATGTCTTTTGACATCATCATTGAAAATGGTCAAGAAATTATGAGAGAAAAAATTTATGCAAATACTAAATAGGAGTGTGAGTCTCTATGTTTGAATTGACCTCGGTCTGGAAAGTGGTTAGGAGTATTGAGAAAATATCCCTACAAAGAAAAATGAAGAAAAGCTGGAGTGCTAGACAGGGTTTTGGCCGCATGTGATTTTGAATCTTGAATAAATAGCATATGTTTATTTAGGTGTGTCAGTGGTGGTTTGTTTCTCTAGGTCCTACTATCCTATTGCAAGTAATCATTAAGTTTATAGTGTTAATGAACCCTCAAGAATTTGTTTGAATTGTGCAAAATCTTCTGATGAGGTTTGTGACAGAACCACATGTTATGAATTTGAAAAATGAAAGATTTCTAATGTTTGAAGAAATTTATAATTTTGATTTGACCTTGAATTTCCAAAATTTACAGCTGAAACATACGAGCAGATGTTTTGAAGAGATATGGAAAAATTGGAGATGGCTGATTAATCTACAACTTCAACTAACAAGTCATTAGTAGTATTATGATGAGGAATCAACATACAGGCTACTTGCAGGTTAGGCTGGTAAAAATAGATCAGGGTTTCATGATTAATTTGTCCTAGCAACTGCAACACATTTTGATTTTGGACATATGTTTATGTGTCTATTCCGTACATATCTTCATACGACAATGAACATTTCAATGTCTTAATTCCCAGATAACACAATAGATACTGCCCATCTAGCTACAGAATGGGCTACACCATTTTTCCTGCCATTTACATGAACATTACTAACATCTTTACATTCAAAAAAGCCACACTAGAGTTCCTCCTTGATCAGTAGCATGTTTTTAATTACTAAATATTGCCTGTATAGCTTATTAAGTTCAAATAGAAGCAGAAAAAACAATGCATTGGGGTGGCTTGAAGGTGATGAAGTTATATGTTGATGGTTGCTTTTGAACACTTGTTTAATATATACTAGAGCTTTCTTTTGCCAATCTGTTGAATAAAAGATGGAGGGTAAAGTCAATTTATATGTTGTTTCAGACTTTATCTTTCATGAAGCATTTGTGTTCGTCACATTTTTCATGAACGTGAGAATGAAATGAAAGTCCGAGAAAACTTTGACAAAAATTGAGTACATATATCAAACGCTGACCTGGGTATGAGTCACATCATATGCATAATCAGCATTAGGAATACCGTAACATCTATAATTAATAGAAGACATGCATCAATATTCCGATCTTCGGAGAAAGTCTTGTTACAATCATCATAGATGAATCTGATTCGTTGGTTTGTAGCACTGACTAGAGTGACTTTGGCTATGGAATGCGGTAGATGTTATAGGGGGAAGTGGCTATGTGCCTCATGCAGTGGAAATTGGTGAAAAAAAATCCGCAAAGTAATCGAATTCACGACCTACCACGACGCCATGTTTTGATTTCTGAATTACATAACGATCAAGAATAAATAAAATTGGGACAGATATTGGCATAATAGATGAGCTTGTATTTAAAAGCTATTGTCTTTACTAATCTTGGTTTTGGGAATTGCACCCTTTTTAGATTGTTTGATAATGAAAAGAAGATCCATAATAATGTCGTCATCTTCAACAATCCCATGTCAAATATCAGATTCTACGTTTGTTACAGTGAGGCAAATATCAAGTAGAGGAAAGAGATCAAAGAAGAAAATATACCACAGAGACTATCAACTCGACAAAGTAATGGACTGGCAAAAGAAGCCATCTCTAATTCTTCATCTAAAGTCCATTATCCAATCTCAACATCAGCGTCTTCTTCTTCTCGACCTCGAAAAAGAAGTTGGGTTTGTCACTAAATGGAACTTCATGTCCGTCATTGAGTAGTACCCTTCTATGTTCCATGTTGGTCGTGGTAGTGGAAAAGAACTCCCTTTTGTTACACTAACTCGAAAAGCCGAAAGATTGCAAGTGAAGAGGGTGAAGCGAGGAATTTGATGGAACCTATTTTAGTTAAAAATCTAAGGAAATTTTTAATGTTGTCAATTGACTGTAAGGTGCCATCGGAAAAGGTTGAATTCATTGGAAATGAACTTGGTTTGCCTCAGGATTTTAAAACGTCATTGATTTTGAAGTATCCCGAATATTTTTCAATGAAAGATGTTAATGGTAGAGCTTATCTTAACTTGGAGAGTTGGGATGCGTCAGTGGCAGTGACTGCTCGCGAGTATAGATTCGCTTGTGAAGGGAAGTTGCAGTCAGCTGGGGTAGAAAGAAGGTTAGGATCATGAAAGATGGTAACTATCTCGGTCCATTTGCATTTAAAATGTGTTTTGCTTCTAGTTTTAGACCGAATAAGAGTTATCTTGAAGAGCTTGAGAGGTGGCAGAAATTGGAAGTCCCTTCTCCATACTTGAATGCAAGGAGATTTGAACTTGCAGATCCAAAAGCTCGGAAGCGAGTGGTGGCTGTACTTCACGAACTCCTCAGTTTGACTATGGAGAAGCAGATGACATCTGCACAATGGGATGCATTACAGTCAGAGTACCTGTTACCATCTAAATTAGTGTTATGTTTGATAAAGCACCATGGTATCTTTTACATTACAAATAAAGGTGCAAGAAGCACTGTGCTCCTTAAAGAAGCCTATGATGGTACAAAATTGGTAGATAAATGTCCTATGTTGATGTTTAATGATAAGTTTGTCGCACTTAGTGGTAGAAATGAGATCAGTTCATGTAACAGTATTAATTCTTCACAGGTTATTACGTGAAATTTTGTTTGGCTACATCAATAATATTTAAAAAGGGTTGTTTGAAAACTGGTTCATGAGTGATGCTTCCAAACAATTATACTCCTAAGATGCTTTAGTCTCCGTTAAATGTTTCATCTTACTATAACTACTAACAGTGTTATTGCCTATTATAGTAAATGATTTCAGACATTTGTTATCCAGATCTGATGGATTTTTTCTTATTTGTTTTCCCTTTTTGTTTGAACTCGGCCAAGCATTGGTATATAGTAATAAGAAAATACCTTCCTAGGGTTTCTTGATAGATTGGAGTTTATCAGACATGGTATCACATTGATGATTATAAAGATGAAGTACTAAATACCTTGACCAGCAGACTATATTTTAACTATACTGCATTATAGGGTAATACATCATGGGCATTCATGCAGATCCAAAGCTAAATTTTGTATTGAGATAGTAAATCAAGTCATGCAAAGTGTTCCATTCTTAAAATTAAAGTCCAGTGTCCTAAGTAAAAGCAGTATCTGTTGTTTGAACTGATTGTTGCTCCCCTCAGACTCTAAAGTTCGATTAATTGTTTTGCCTACAGATAAATTGTTCAAGCTATTTCTTAATATTAGGTTTAGTCTATCATAAATGCTAGCAAATCAGGCTCTAAACTGGCAACTTACTTTTAAGATGGGATTAAGGAAAGAGTTTAGTCTAGCTAAAAATAGGGTTTGATCTTAATGTCATCAGCTCTATTTATTAGCATTTCGTTGACTATTTATTAAATTCAGAGTTCATTTTTTTGCTGAGTTGCAATTTTGTATGCTTTAGTCCCATCAGATTCTAGAAAGGTGGTTTACAGCAATTTCGTATGCTTTTCTATGCTTATATCTTCTAAATTTTCGTCTTTTTTATGGATAGAAATCACTAGTGTCATTGACTGTTGCTTTTCTAGGGGGACGGTTATGGTATGGGTGATTGATTATTGCTTCCAAGGTATGTATTTTATAGATTACTGGTTAACTTTTATCATTGAAGTGAAATTGAATTTGTTGCCTCAATTCCATTGCATTTCAGTTATTCAGCTTTCCTCAGTTTTCCACATTAGTTGCAAAATAAATAAAAGATGGGATTAGTAAATAAAACTGAAGAAAGCTGAATAACTGAAATGCACATATTCAGTAAGAATGCACACATTCAACATGTAAAAATAAAAGATGCAAAATAAATGACATTATAAAACAAATTTGTGATCGTAGTAAGATTGATTCCTTAACATGTCAAATCCCTCTGGTGCCATTTAACCTCAAATCCTTTGGTACTAACTCAACTGGATAAAATGATCCAAACCCCTAAATTGGTGTCATTATTGGAATGTTTGCAAGTTAAGAGATTAGTAAAGAGTGTGCTTTCAACCTTACGAGTTTTGAAATTGTACTAATCATCACCGTATTAATGCATAATGTTAATGTACTTGATGTAAAAGCAGACCACTTTATATCTTTGATTTGAATGGAGAAAACTAGGTTTGGTGGAATTCTTTCACCATCTTGCCTCATCGAGAATGAAGGGCAAGTGGTCTGTGTGCTGTACCATTTTTTATATGAGTTACTAGTTATGCTCATGCTTGTCATTTTAGCCGATAATCCATTCCCTCGTAAAACAAACATTTAAATCACTTAAAAACAAAAGCAGAGTAAGCAGAGGTTGGTTTCTCTACCCTATTGTTAAAAGAAAATACAGAGATCTGAATAAATGAAGCACTCCAGAATTGCAATAGTTTGTAATTCTCCTCATAAGCTTATAGTTGGATTATCACTTTTCTTGGGGTAGGTTATGCTTTTATCACATGCTCCTTTTTGGTACTTGTCATTCATGCCTGTTGAAGCTGAAGAAAATTTTCTAGTTTGTTTGACTCCTTCCTTAACCATCAATGTTGAAGAATTTAACTACTAAATCTGCACTGTGCTGTGCGGAGGTTAATAAATCCTTCTATTTTTATTAACAGAAAGGACCTCAATCGTCCAATGTTCCAATAAGGATAGCTGCTTGTTTTACCTTTCTGTTTTCCTATTCTCTGAGTTATGAGAGGGTCCTTCAGAATACTACATTCAGCAAGCAAGGCCCAACAAGAAAGGATGGAGAACTCATGATGAAGAATGGCCAGCAATTAAGGTGAAGTGCTTATGGGACCTTATAAAAAGGGGGTCAATATGCTTGCGGCCTTAAAAAGTTAGTGGTTCCTTTTTTGGTTGATATTTCTATATTTTGATTATATTTATGTGTGATTGTAGAACCAAATCATAGTGTATGTTCCTTCATTTGCTAGGGAATGTTGGGGTTTGGTTAGAATGTAATTTGTTATGGCAGATTCAGATCATTTATCTAATCCCACTAAAGAGGTACTGTCAGATAAAGTGTTGACATTTATTTGACAGAACTAGCCAAATTTAAAAACAACTTTGCTCAATTGTAAGCTGAAGACTGAATTTCAATTCTTCATGCTTTTGCTTGAACAAGGGTGAAGGGTTTTTCTTGTGTTTCTAATAATGGTCTTGTATTTGCATGCTTATATATGACTTTATACAGTCAATGACAGAATAGTAGCTGATAATAATGCTACTACACGGGGTATTGATGCCCAACATACTACACTTCTTGCCTGGACCTATAAGTATTTTCCTTGAGATCACTACAATGCCAAGGTCTTGCACACCCTTCAAAATGATCATGTGGAAACAGTCGATGGCTAACTTTTGTAAAAATACTTTCATTTCTTTTTCTTTAACTTAATTGTGATGTATTTTGGTTTTCCTTTGGGTTCACGTTCTCTTCTCATGATTGGTACAGGCTGTTAGGATTTCAGATAAAAATGTTGAAATAAAAGCAAATTCTAGGTAGAAAACCAAGAACAAAGTATAATCTTACAATAAACTCGCCTGATGAGCTTGTAATCAAGTAACAGTGGTCTCTACTGGAAGACTGAATGATCTTCGTGGATCTTCAGTTGTATATTGTCATATAAAATCTAGGAATTCTCAGGCTACATTTGAATGAGCTAGGGAGGTCTAGAAGCTATTCATTCCATAAAAAAGAAGGTAGCTTCATGAATGTGATTTTGTGTGATATATGTATAGAACTATTGTTTTCTCCTTTAGACTAGATTTGTAACCGAATTTCCTACTAACATAACAATGTGCCCAGCTTTCCTCATCTATTTTAGAGCTGTAAAATAGATAAACCAAGTGTTGGTTGTTGAGTACTATTTTTCATTTTTGACAATTGTTGGTGAAAAATTTTATAGATTTTGTCTGCGAGATCTTTTGATTCTATACATGAAAACTGCTACCAGCTTGGATAGAAATGGGGATTACAAATGAGCTAGAAGACTAGTAGAAATCTCTCTGCTTTTCCCAATGAACAGGAATATGGTCTGGATGAGCTAAATGTCATACATCGAATTAATCATTCAACTTGAATATCTGTCTGAGTTGAGACTTAAGTTTACGAGAAATTAAGAATTTAGAGAGTCATGAGACATTCAAAACTTTCAATCTACTTGTGTTCAATAGTGGTTTGTGATAATGGAAGTATCCCTGTTTGCATTGCAATGATGCGTCTTAGGTCTGGGGATTAAATAACTTTATAATGGCCTTGCTTTGCTGCGTTTCTTGATCACTTTAGGCACTCATCTAGGTGCTCCAATGTATCCAACAGGTTTTAATAAGCTGGGTGGAAAGCATGTGGGAGGAAGGAACGCATCCATATGTTTGATAATACATGATGGAACAGAATAATGCTCTAGCCCACAGAAAGTAGGGGCCTTGATGGCTGCAATCATGCAATTCTGTAGCATTTTTTCATCCAGTGCCTTTGTGAAAGAGAAAACTATTCAAGCACTCAATGATTCTGTAATCTTTCAACACAAACCGAAATCAGGCAAAAGTAAAAATGTTCAAAGTAGTTGCCATTGTCCTTGCACTTCGTGAAATAATTGCATGCTTCAAAATGAAGGCAATCAGGGGAACCAGCATATTTGACTGATAAAGATTCCTAGAATAAAGAAGATTTCACTTCTGCTTTTAATTATTCTCTTTCCTTTCTTTTTGTTAAAACACCAGTCCTCATTCAATGGGAAAAAAAAAAAGGAACAATTTCTAGAATTATATATCGCCTACAATGGATGTATATATTCTTTGAGGGGAAAAGTGTAAAAAGTTACTGGTTAAACTTTAATCACCCCTGCCAAGATTATGTTCCCAATAAAATTAGGAATGGTATGAAATGATGGTTATTGCGGGAACTGAAGTGGAAAGAAACCTTTAGCAGAAGATGAGGAACTATCTGTTCTCTTAAAGGCTTATTATATTCTTGTGTTACTTTCTGGAAAAGGAATCTTTAGCTTGTTCTGATTAGCTAAGAACACTGCCATATGCTGACAACATTATGCTAATTTAAACTGTTCATGATGTTTGGTTCTTTGGCATTAAAGTTCTGTGCCTCAGTATCATGGTAGTATTCTCTTTTATATTAATATGAATAGCTTTTTTTATTCATACAACATAAACAATGGTAATATATTGTTTAGACACAAGTTGTCTGATTCTTGTGCTACAATTATATTCCACATTTTACTTTGTTAAAGCTTTGCCTAATTCTATCTTTGGCAGTAATGAACCGACCTTCCAGTTTGAGAGGATCCGAGGATTTTAGCACAAGAAAAAGAGATACGTTTGCCACTCGACTGAAATAAGAGTATTGCATCAGTTCAGAACCTTTCTTTTTCCCTTCATTTGTTATTTTTTCAACCCTTTTGCGTCATTTAAGAAACCTTTTTCTCTTAAAAGGTGGAGTTGGTACTTGTATATTTGTGCTGTTAAATGCCTTGTCAACCATAGAGTTGATGGAATGATGGGGGAAGATTAGCTTTTATCTTTTTGAGTACATTTATTTTTGGTATAAAAAGGCGTAGCTTAAAGAAATATTTGAATTTTAAATTTATTAAATATTTATTTTAAAGATAATTATATAAATTAATCGAAATAAATCTCGGATTCTTGAATATCTTTCATAAGATGGGCATGTTTTGAAGAAAAAGAAAAGCTCTCTTTAGTGGTATTATTTAACAATTCTTTTACATCTTTCCCTCAAATAGCCTTACATGCACCAAACTGCTGTTTGAACCAATGGCTAAAATAGCTTTAAAGTAGGTTTCTTTGGTAGCATTTGGCATGAGAAAAAGAAAGTTTGTTTACAAAAGAAGGGAATTATCTGCATGCACTTGTGGACTGTAGTAGCAATCTTTCAAAGGCATATTCTTTGAAACATAACCAACCTTGATTTTTCTCACTAGCTCATGGAATCAAAACTCATGTGGTAAGATCAAATCACCCTTGCCAAATATATTATTTAATCCTAAACTTAATTATCAGTGAAAATAATTGTTGTCTTCCCTTTCTTTGCAGTTTGTTTTCTCATTTTTCAACTAATTTCTTTCATTTCAATCAAAAAGAAAAATGCCTTCAACTTGTATCATTATCTTGGGTTCCACTTCAGATTTTCTAGAAAGTTGAAGCATGGGCTTTTAAAACAAGTACCAAGAAATTTGTTTCAGTCCCCTACTGTATATGAAACAAGCCTTTTATGAACATCATTTTCAGATATTTCTACATCAATACAGCACATTAAGTAAAAAAAAAAAAAAAACATGAAAAACCTTGGCGACACCGACACTCAAGTTGTGTACTAAACTGGACGCATTTATATGTTTAACATGCATATCATTGTTCATTTTGTTTTGTAGTTGAATTGTCAAACATCTAAACCACATCAGCTTGTTGTAACATGCTAAGCAAGATGATATACAATGCCAGAGAAAGGAATTCAAAAACAAATTGAAAGAGTATTAAGGCTGTTTTCAAAGAGTTTGACATGAACAAGAGAATGGGTGGACAAAATTATCTCAGGATACGAAATTTGCAGAACAAGTGGGGCTCTAGAATTGATGTTCGGTGATAAAACTTTGGTAGCTTTATATCATACAGATAGCAATAAATATTCCTTGCGGCAAAAGAAATAATAATTGTTAGAATTACATTGAATTTCTAGGTAATTTTATATCTTCATAATGTAGTCCAAAACTGTATAAAGCTGCTGCATCTTGGTCTGTTGTGACTTCTAGGAAAACAATTATAAGAAACAAACAGATCTTTTTCATATATTTACGCTTACCTGTAGTGTAAATGAGCTTTCATTATTTAAAACATCTATGTCTGATTTTCTGAACAAGGTGTTTATGAAGGGTCCAGGGGCTGATGTGGTGTGTGGCCAAATTTGGGACAGGTGTAGCCTGTGCAATCACTGTCCATCTTTTCATTATAAGACTGATTGTCAGATTTGAATAAACAAAGTCAGTGTTTGATTAACAGGGGGGGCAGGAAATATAATTATATCATTCATTGTGGATCCCAACTTTAGGCCCAATGTATTAACTGAGTCATGTTCTGTTGTTTCATATGGCCCATCTGGCTTTTCTTTAATATAGGCAGGCTAAAATGTCAAGATGAAATCCCCTAGCTTGTATCATCATTAATGGTGTTTAAAGCAACATGCTGTTACCATGTCAGATGATCGTGATAACACCAATCTAGTTACTGTGTTTGTCATAATAATTTCATCAGAAAGTTTGGCTATTGATTTCTAGAATTGAATTACATAGTTTTTTTTTTATTTTATTTTATGTAACTTACTGTTGAAAGACAGTGATAGAAGATAAAATGTTTGTCGATAACTAGCTAACCTATTTTCTTCATGTAGAAATGTATTTGGAAATGGTTCTGATAGGACTTAATTAAAAGTTTCAAACTATTTCTAGAAACCAGTTTCTGTTAATACAGAAAAATAGAAACAACTAGCTGAACCTGTTATTTAGGCCCCATGTTTTTTAGCTGATAGCATTGGCACCTCCTGTTAGTTGACAAAACACCAAAGTTCCCTGTCCTGTGAAAAACATAAAAGGATATATATGCTACTGTTACATTTACATGCCTGGAATTACCTTTGAACCTTCCAACATTTTGATTGATTGAATGATGAATGATGTTTCAAAATTGATGTAATCTGTCAGATTTTGCATTGATCCCTCCACTAATAGGAGAAAATTTGATTGATTAGACAGATAATAGTGCTATTAAAGTGTAGGCAGCTGGTCATGTTTTTATTTAGGGAGAGAGAGTCTGAACACTCCATAAGCACGTTTTCTTTCGAAGTCGGTCCAGATTCAGCCTAGTTTGGGGCAGGCATGTAAACATGAGTAATCATGATGTTAATTTTATTCAAATTTAATAAAAATTATAATTTTTTATTCAAATGAAAATACAAATGAATTTTAAATTTTAAAAATAAAAATAAATATATATATGATTTTAAATTTTTTATTAGATACAAATAATATATCATTCGTTTTGTATATTTATTCTGTATTTTATATATATTTATATATTCAATAAATAAATTTTGTATTTAACAAGATAAATTTTTATTTTCAATTAATTAGAATTAATATATATTAATTTAAAAATATGTATTTATAAAAAAGTTATATAAATGTGCATAATAAAAATAAAAATTAATTTTTATTTTTTTAAAAAAATTATAAGTACAAAGATTGTTTATATTAATTAAATACTCACAAAGATGAGTGTGAGAATAAATTTAAAATATTTATTTAATATATATACATAAAAGTAAAAGTATTCATAGACTAGTTTGAATCGAATAATATTTAGTATTAATAGTTTATATATTAATTCAAGTTTGATTTCTTTCAATATTTCAAAATCGATCCATGTTAAAATAATAAAATTCAAACCTATTCA